TAAAAAGTTTTTAAAACTGTCAGTTATTTTCATTTGTGTCCACTGTTCTTGTTCTGACGTCTGTTTTTCGTTCACATTTTTTCCTCTCTCTTCCCTTATGTTGTTTGTTTCCTCCTACATAACCCTTGTTTTTAAATCTTCTTCTTCCTTGTTTCTTTCATGCACCTGTCCGTCCTCTTGTTTTGCTCCCCATTCTTCCTCTCCTTCCATCCAACATTCACACTTGTTTAAAAATGGTTTAAATTCTGGACATTTGACATTATTACAATTCCTTGCAAAGTGTCCCTTTTCTTCACCTTTATAGCACTTAAAATCAGCGCAATCCATTAAAATGTGCTTTTTTTGTTTTATTTTTTTTTTTTTATTTAAAACATCATCACATTACATTAACATTTAAAAACTCCAGAAATTTCACAAAACAAATACATTAAAATAAACATTCTTCATAAAATAATATCCTCTTTGGGCATCTTCCACTTTAAACCATTTAAAACAACCTTGATCCGTCCTCAATGTCAGTGCCTGTGTAAACTCTTCTTTTTATTTTTGATATGGGATAAACTCCCCATCCTTCTAATTTTACTAAAATGTCTCTGTCATAAAGATAGACTGGCAGGTGCATGAAAGAAACAACATAATCCCTGTTTTGCAGCTTTTTGATTTTAACAGTTCATTTCCTTAATCAACAGTTCATAGATCAATTCCTCACATGTTTCTTGCTTTTCCATAGTTAGTTCAAACTCTTTTCCTTGCCTCAGTCTCAAAGCCAGAATCTTCCCATGACCACACTTGTCTGTCACTGCTTTAATGATGTCCACAGCTCTTACCTCATTTACTTCTTCGGCATTCACTATTACTGTTACTTCTTTTAAATATTTTTTTCCACCAAGTTTTTCCTTTGTCCAGCTCGTTGTCTATCGTCCAGTCCATTGTCGTTAACCATTCTTGTCCCTCCATTCAGTCTAGTTTCATTTACCAAGAAAGTCTCTGCATCCAGCCCAGTTTCGTTTGCCACAGAACCGTCCATTTTATGCCCAGGAAAAGTGAAAAAAAAAAAAACACCCTCCAGTTAGCAAGATGCTGCTCTCAGGTGGTTTAAAAAAATAAAATAAAATAGACTCTATTTCACTTCACAAAAACAACACAAACAAACAAAACAAATATTCTAAAATGAAGGAGACCCTGTCTTTGAACTGCAGCTGTTCACTCCCTGTATCGCTCACTAGTGTCCTCTACTGTTCCCAGGGTGGTACGGCTATAAGCAGGCAAGAATTCTACCACTGAGCCACCAATGTTGACACATGTCTTTCCTTGCCTTTTTGGTGTGTGAGTGCTGCAAGGCTGTTACATGCAGCTGGAAGAGGAGCAACACAAAACATGAACTGCATTGGCCAAGAATCAGACCCCGGTCTCCTGCATGGGAGGCGAGAATTCAACCACTGAACCACCATTGCTGCCTCACATGTTCACCTGCCCTTGTGGGCTCCGAGTGCTGCCAGGCGGTTACATGCAGCTGGAAGGGGAGCAACATAAATTGCATTGGCCAGGAATCAACACAAATCCACAAATGCTGACCTGCTTATTATTTTGCCATTGGCCGGGAATCGGACACGAATCTCCCACGTGGCAGGTGAGAATTGTGTGTAAGCAAGGCGCAACTCTGCGCAGGAGTTTAGACCGGGTTTGTTTTGGTCTAATGAAAAATCTATTTTAGTTTCTCAAAATAGCAACGCGCCAGCAGTGCGCCTCAGAACACCTTCTTTTTTAGACCAGAACGCCTATGGGTGCACATATGAGCGCTAATGCATTTGCTATTTAAACAGCGTAGCGCAACGTCTCAAAACGACTCTTGTGTCAAGCTTAAACTAGCAATATACTGTTGCGCCGCGCGTATGATAGGGCACTAAACCATCAATGCTGAAACACATGTTATCCTACCCTAGTGGGGTGTGATTGCTGCTATGCTGTTACATGCAGCTGGAAGAGTAGCAACACAGACCAGCAACTGCATTGGCTGGCAATCAGACCCATTTCCTCCACAAGGCGGGCGAAAATTCTACCACTGAAACACCAAAGCTGGCACATATGTTCTTTTGCCCTTGTGGGGAGTCAGTGCTGCAAGATAGTTACATGTAGCTGGAAGCCACACAAAACAGCAACTGCACTAGACGGGAATCGAGCTCATGTGTCCCGCATGGCAGGCGAGAATTCTACCACTGAACCACCAATACGGATATACTCATATTGCTGCCCTAGTGGGGTGTGATTGCTACAAGGCTGTTACCCAGAGCTGGAAGAGTAGCATCACAAAACAGTAATTGCATTAGCCGAGAAGTAAACCTGGGTCTCCCACGTGACAGGTGAGAATTCTACCACTGAACCACCAATGCTAATCCATGTTGTTTCTTGCCTTTGTGTTGTGTGAGAGCTAAAAGGCCGTCAACCAGAGCTGGAACAGGAGCCACACAAAACCGCAAATGTTATTGCCGTGAATCGACACCAGGCCTCCCGCGTGGCAAGTGAGAATTCTACCACTGAACCACCAATGCTGATATGCTCATACTGCTGTCCTAGTGGAGTGTGATTGCTGCTAGGCTGTTACACAAAGCTTGAAGAGTAGGAGCACAAAACAGGATTTGCATTGGCCGGGAATCAGACCCGGGTCTCCCGCATGGCAGACGACTTCTACCACTGAACCACCAATGCTGATATGCACATACTACTGTCCTAGTGGGGTGTGATTGCTGCAAGGCTGTTACCCGGAGCTGGAAGAGTAGCAACACTAAACAGGGTTTGCATTGGCCAGGGTCTCCCGCGTGGCAGGCTAGAATTCTACAAGGGAACCACCAATGCTGATATGCTCATACTGCTGTCCTAGTGGGGTGTGATTGCTGCAAGGCTGTTACCCAGAGCTGGAAGAGTAGCAACACAAAACAGGAATTGCATTGGCCGGAAAACGGACACGGATCTCCCGCGTCACAAACAGGAATTTTACCACTGAACCACCAACGCTGATACGCTCATACTGCTGTTCTAGTGGGTTGTGATTGCTGCAAGGCTATTACCCAGAGCTGGAAGAGTAGCAACACAAAACAGGGTTTGCATTGGCCAGGAACCGGACCAGGGTCTCCCACGTGGCAGGCAAGAATTCTACCAGGGAACCACCAATGCTGATATGCTCATACTGCTGTCCTAGTGGGGTGTGATTGCTGCAAGGATGTTACCCAGAGCTGGAAGAGAAGCAATACAAAAAGGGAACTGGGTTGGCCAGGAATCGGACCCAGGTCTCCTGTGTGGGAGGCGAGAATTCTACCACTAAACCACCAACGCTGATATGCTCATACTGCTGTCCTAGTGGGGTGTGAAGGCTGTTACCCAGAGCTGTAAAAGTGGCAACACAAAAGAGGATTTGCATTGGCCGGGAATGGGACCCGGGTCTCCCGCGTGGCAGGCGAGAATTCTACCACTGAACCACCAATGCTGATATGCTTATACAACTGTCCTAGTGGGGTGTGATTGCTGCAAGGCTGTTACCCAGAGCTGGAAGAGTTGCAACACAAAACAGGGTTTGCATTGGCCAGGAACCGGACCAGGGTTTCCCACGTGGCAGGCGAGAATTATACCACTGAACCACCAATGCTGATATGCTCATACTGCTGTACTAGTTGGGTGTGATTGCTGCAAGGCTGTTACCCAGAGCTGTAAGAGTAGCAACACAAAAGAGGATTTGCATTGGCTGGGAATCGAAACCTGGTCTCCCGCGTGGAAGGCGAGAATTCTACCACTGAACCACCAATGCTGTTATAATCATAAATCTGTCCTAGTGGGGTGTTATTGCTGCAAGGCTGTTACCCAGTGCTGGAAGAGTAGCAACACAAAACAGGAATTGCATTGGCCGGGAATCGGACACGGGTCTCCCGCATGGGAGGCGAGAATACTACCACTGAACCACCAATGCTGATATGCTCATACTGCTCTCCTAGTGGCGTGTGATTGCTGCTAGGCTGTTACCCAGAGCTGGAGGGGAAGCAACACAAAAAGGGAACTGCGTTGGCCGGGAATCAGACCCAGGTCTCCTGTGTGGGAGGTGAGAATTCTACCACTAAACCACCAATGCTGATAAGCACATACTGCTTTCCTAGTGGGGTGTGATTGCTGCAAGGCTGTTACCCAGAGCTGTAAGAGTAGCAACACAAAAGAGGATTTGCATTGGCCGGGAATCGGACCCGGGTCTCCCGCGTGGCAGGCGATAATTCTACCACTGAACCACCAATGCTGATATGCTTATACAACTGTCCTAGTGGGGTGTGATTGCTGCAAGGCTGTTACCCAGAGCTGGAAGAGTAGCAACACAAAACAGGGTTTGCATTGGCCAGGAACCGGACCAGGGTCTCCCACGTGGCAGGCGAGAATTCTACCACTGAACCACCAATGCTGATATGCTTATACAACTGTCCTAGTGGGGTGTGATTGCTGCAAGGCTGTTACCCAGAGCTTGAAGAGTTGCAACACAAAACAGGGTTTGCATTGGCCAGGAACCGGACCAGGGTCTCCCACGTGGCAGGCGAGAAGTCTACCAGTGAACCACCAATGCTGATATGCTCATACTGCTGTCCTAGTGGGTTGTGATTGCTGCAAGGCTGTTACCCAGAGCTGGAAGAGAAGCAACACAAAAAGGGAACTGCGTTGGCCGGGAATCGGACCCAGGTCTCCTGTGTGGGACGTGAGAATTCTACCACTAAACCACATACGCTGATATGCTCATACTGCTGTCCTAGTGGGGTGTGATTGCTGCAAGGCTGTTACCCAGAGCTGTAAGAGTAGCAACACAAAAGAGGATTTGCATTGGCCGGGAATCGGACCCGGGTCTCCCGCGTGGCAGGCGAGAATTCTACCACTGAACCACCAATGCTGATATGCTTATACAACTGTCCTAGTGGGGTTTGATTGCTGCAAGGCTGTTACCCAGAGCTGTAAGAGTAGCAACACAAAAGAGGATTTGCATTGGCTGGGAATCGAAACCGGGTCTCCCGCGCGGCAGGCGAGAATTCTACCACTGAACCACCAATGCTGTTATAATCATAAATCTGTCCTAGTGGGGTGTGATTGCTGCAAGGTTGTTACCCAGTGCTGCAAGAGTAGCAACACAAATCAGGAATTGCATTGGCCGGGAATCGGACACGGGTCTCCCGCATGGGAGGCAAGAATTCTACCACTGAACCACCAATGCTGATATGCTCATACTGCTCTCCTAGTGGGGTGTGATTGCTGCTAGGCTGTTACCCAGAGCTGGAAGGGAAGCAACACAAAAAGGGAACTGCGTTGGCTGGAAATCCGACCCAGGTCTCCTGTGTGGGAGGCGAGAATTCTACCACTAAACCACCAATGCTGATATGCTCATACTGCTTTCCTAGTGGGGTGTGATTGCTGCAAGGCTGTTACCCAGAGCTGTAAGAGTAGCAACACAAAAGAGGATTTGCATTGGCCAGGAACCGGACAAGGGTCTCCCACATGGCAGGCGAGAATTCTACCAGTGAACCACCAATGCTGATATGCTCATACTGCTGTCCTAGTGGGGTGTGATTGCTGCAAGGCTGTTACCCAGAGCTGGAAGAGAAGCAACACAAAAAGGGAACTGCGTTGGCCGGGAATCGGACCCAGGTCTCCTGTATGGGACGCGAGAATTCTATCACTAAACCACCAATGCTGATATGCTCATACTGCTGTCCTAGTGGGGTGTGATTGCTGCAAGGCTGTTACCCAGAGCTGTAAGAGTAGCAACACAAAAGAGGATTTGCATTGGCCGGGAATCAGACCCGGGTCTCCTCCGTGGCAGGCGAGAATTCTACCACTGAACCACCAATGCTGATATGCTTATGCAACTGTCCTAGTGGGGTGTGATTGCTGCAAGGCTGCTACCCAGAGCTGGAAGAGTTGCAACACAAAACAGGATTTGCAATGGCCAGGAATCGGACCCGGGTCTCCTGCGTGGCAGGTGAGAATTCTACCAGTGAACCACCGCTGCTGATATGCTCATACTGCTGTACTAGTTGGGTGTGATTGCTGCAAGGCTGTTACCCAGAGCTGTAAGAGTAGCAACACAAAAGAGGATTTGCATTGGCTGGGAATCGAAACCGGGTCTCCCACGCGGCAGGCGAGAATTCTACCACTGAACCACCAATGCTGTTATAATCATAAATCTGTCCTAGTGGTGTGTGATTCCTGCAAGGCTGTTACCCAGTGCTGGAAGAGTAGCAACACAAATCAGGAATTGCTTTGGCCGGGAATCGGACACGGGTCTCCCGCATGGGAGGCAAGAATTCTACCACTGAACCACCAATGCTGATATGCTCATACTGCTCTCCTAGTGGGGTGTGATTGCTGCTAGGCTGTTACCCAGAGCTGGAAGGGAAGCAACACAAAAAGGGAACTGCGTTGGCTGGGAATCAGACCCAGGTCTCCTGTGTGGGAGGCGAGAATTCTACCACTAAACCACCAATGCTGATATGCTCATACTGCTTTCCTAGTGGGGTGTGATTGCTGCAAGGCTGTTACCCAGAGCTGTAAGAGTAGCAACACAAAAGAGGATTTGAATTGGCCGGGAATCGGACCCGGGTCTCCTGCGTGGCAGGCGAGAATTCTACCACTGAGCCACGAATGCTGATATGTTTATACAGCTGTCCTAGTGGGGTGTGATTGCTGCAAGGCTGTTACCCAGAGCTGGAAGAGTAGCAACACAAAACAGGATTTGCATTGGCCGGGAAACGGACCCGGGTCTCCCGCATGGCAGGCGAGAATTCTACCACTGAACCACCAATGCTGATATGCTTATACAACTGTCCTAGTGGGGTGTGATTGCTGCAAGGCTGTTACCCAGAGCTGGAAGAATAGCAACACAAAACAGGGTTTGCATTGGCCAGGACCCGGACCAGGGTCTCCCACATGGCAGGCGAGAATTCTACCAGTGAACCCCCAATGCTGATATGCTCATACTGCTGTCCTAGTGGGGTGTGATTGCTGCAAGGCTGTTACCCAGAGCTGGAAGATTAGCAACACAAAACAAGAATTGCATTGGCCAGGAATCAGACCCGGGTCTCCCACGTGGCAGGCGAGAATCCTACCACTGAACCACCAATGCTCATATGCTTATATTGCTGCCCTAGTGGGGTGTAACCTCTGCAAGGCTGTTACCCAGAGCTGGAAGAGAAGCAACAAAAAACAGGAATTGAATTGGCCGGAAAACAGACCTCCCGCGTCACAAATGGGACCACCAACACTGATATGCTCATACTGCTGTCCTAGTGGGTTGTGATTGCTACCCAGTAGGGGCTGTTACCCAAAGCTGGAAGATTAGCAACACAGAAGAGGAATTGCATTGGCCAGGAATAAGACCCGGGTCTCCCGCGTGGGAGGCGAGAATTCTACCACTGAACCACCAATGCTGTTATAATCATAAATCTGTCCTAGTGGGGTGTGATTGCTGCAAGGCTGTTACCCAGTGCTGGAAGAGTAGCAACACAAAATAGGAATTGCATTAGCCGGGAATCGGACCCGGGTCTCCCGCGTGGGAGGTGAGAAATCTACCACTGAACCACCAATGTTGATATGCTAATTCTGCTCTCCTAGTGGGGTGTGATTGCTGCAAGGCTGTTACCCAGAGCTGGAAGAGAAGCAACACAAAAAGGGAACTGTGTTGGCCGGGAATTGGACCCAGGTCTCCTGTGTGGGAGGCAAGAATTCTACCACTAAACCACCAATGCTGATATGCTCATACTGCTGTCCTAGTGGGGTGTGATTGCTGCAAGGCTGTTACCCAGAGCTGTAAGAGTAGCAATATAAAAGAGGATTTGTATTAACCGGGAATCAGACCCAGGTCTCCTGCGTGGCAGGCGACAGTTCTACCACTGAACCACCAATGCTGATATGCTTATACTGCTGCCCTAGTGAGGTGTGACTGCTGCAAGGCTGTTACCCAGAGCTGTAAGAGTAGCAACACAAAAGAGGAGTTGCATTGGCCAGGAATCGGACCCAGGTCTCCCGCGTGGCAGGCGAGAATTCTACCACTGATTCACCAATGCTGATATGCTCATACTGCTGTCCTAGTGGGGTGTGATTGCTGCAAGGCTGTTACCCAGAGCTGGAATATTAGCAACACAAAACAAGAATTGCATTGGCCAGGAATCGGACCCTGGTCTCCCGCGTGGGAGGCGAGAATTCTACCACTGAACCATTAATGCTGATATACTCATGCTGCTGTCCTAGTGGGTTGTGATTGCTGCAAGGCTGTTACCCAGAGCTGGAAGAGTAGCAACACAAAAAGAAATTGCATTGACCGGGAATCGGACCCGGATCTACCGCGTGGCAGGCAAGAAGTCTACCACTGAACCACCAATGCTGACATGCTCATACTGCTCTCCTAGTGGGGTGTGATTGCTGCAAGGCTGTTACCCAGAGCTGGAAGAGAAGCAACACAAAAAGGGAACTGCGTTGGCCGGAAATCGGACCCAGGTCTCCTGTATGGGAGGCGACAATTCTACCACTAAACCACCTCTGCTGATATGCTCATACTGCTGTCCTAGTGGGGTGTGATTGCTGCAAGGCTGTTACCCAGAGCTGGAAGAGTAGCAACACAAAAGAGGAGTTGCATTGGCCGGGAATCGGACCCGGGTCTCCTGCGTGGCAGGCGAGAATTCTACCACTGAACCACCAATGCTGACATGCTTATACAACTGTCCTAGTGGGGTGTGATTGCTGCTAGGCTGTTACCCAGAGCTGGAAGGGAAGCAACACAAAAAGGGAACTGCGTTGGCCGGAAATCCGACCCAGGTCTCCTGTGTGGGAGGCGAGAATTCTACCACTAAACCACCAATGCTGATATGCTCATACTGCTTTCCTAGTGGGGTGTGATTGCTGCAAGGCTGTTACCCAGAGCTGTAAGAGTAGCAACACAAAAGAGGATTTGCATTGGCCGGGAATCGGACCCGGGTCTCCCGAGTGGCAGGCGAGAATTCTACCACTGAGCCACCAATGCTGATATGCTTATACAGCTGTCCTAGTGGGGGGTGATTGCTGCAAGGCTGTTACCCAGAGCTGGAAGAGTAGCAACACAAAACAGGGTTTGCATTGGCCAGGAACCGGACCAGGGTCTCCCACGTGGCAGGCGAGAATTCTACCACTAAACCACCAATGCTGATATGCTCATACTGCTTTCCTAGTGGGGTGTGATTGCTGCAAGGCTGTTACCCAGAGCTGTAAGAGTAGCAACACAAAAGAGGATTTGCATTGGCTGGGAATCGGACCCGGGTATCCCGCGTGGCAGGTGAGAATTCTACCACTGAACCACCAATGCTGATATGCTTATACAACTGTCCTAGTGGGGTGTGATTGCTGCAAGGCTGTTACCCAGAGCTGGAAGAGTTGCAACACAAAACAGGGTTTGCATTGGCCAGGAACCGGACAAGGGTCTCCCACATGGCAGGCGAGAATTCTACCAGGAAACCACCAATGCTGATATGCGCATACTGCTGTCCTAGTTGGGTGTGATTGCTGCAAGGCTGTTACCCAGAGCTGAAAGAGTAGCAACACAAAACAGGAATTGCATTGGCCGGGAATCGGACCCGGGTCTCCCGCGTGGCAGGCGAGAATTCTACCACTGAACCACCAATGCTGTTATAATCACAAATCTGTCCTAGTGGGGTGTGATTGCTGCAAGGCTGTTACCCAGTGCTGGAAGAGTAGCAACACAAAACAGGAATTGCATTGGCCGGGAATCGGACGAGGGTCTCCCGCGTGGGAGGCGAGAATTCTACCACTAAACCACCAATGCTGATATGCTCATACTGCTCTCCTAGTAGGGTGTGATTGCTGCAAGGCTGTTACCCAGAGCTGGAAGAGTAGCAACACAAAAAAGAAATTGCATTGGCCGGGAATCGGACCCAGGTCTACCGCGTGGCAGGCAAGAATTCTACCACTAAACCACCAATGCTGAAATGCTTGTATTGCTGCCCTAGTGGGGTGTGACTGCTGCAAGGCTGTTACCCAGAGCTGGAAGAGTAGCAACAAAAAACAGGA